TGATATGGTTGTCAGTTGTGTGTATGCTAATTAGCTAGCTTAGAATGCTAAATTAGGTTAACATCGGACTGGCCATTCGACGTCGATGCAACCGGTTAATCCTTATCGAGTGTGACAGCTCTATCATCCGACCACACATTGGCGTCGGTTAGTTAGTGCTGATGTAGTTGCAAGTCTGCTGTGTTGACGTATTGGTATAATGTACATAGGTCAATCGAATATGACACGTTTCATAGTTATATAAAAAAGCTTGAGCATTATAGGACCTATTTATTAAATATGTGATACGGACTCGATCCACATAAACCATTCATTTTATTGAGTCAAATTGGGCTAATTTGAAATGAACATGACCCAAACAATATCCGAATAGTTTTCCTGTGATCGAATTTAAGCATTATGGCTATGCTTATGAAATTGATGCGCTTAATTAATAAGTTGAGATGATTATTTAGACATAGTTAAATAAATTTACTAATATCTTGATTTAATTCTTTCATGTATAATTTATGAAAAGGTTAACATTCATTCTAGATAATCTATTAATATTTTATGGTTACGATATAATGGAGAAAATTATCCAATCAGTCCTAAATTTATTGTATGGATGCCAATTCAGTTCCAGTCTTTCCAATTTTACCGAATTGATCGTAAACCTTTGTGTGAGATTCCAATGTAATCCTTCTGGCCAATTTTTACCGACCATGTCAGTGATTTTCGCCGAAAATTGATCGAAATAACTATATTAGAATTTCACACAAAGATTTAGGACTAAATTGGTAAAATAGAAAAGTTTAGGACTGAATTAGTATCTATACAATAGGTTTAGAATTGATTGGGTAATAAATCTAGATACATTTTTGCAGTATAACAATGCTTATTGTCACTATTTTGGCTTATATCGAGTTTAGTATTAAAGTATAGAATAATATATCTTATTTAAATTGAAAAATCAATATAAGTTAATCATTAATCGAGAAAACACGATTTTTAACTATAAATAGGTTAGACGAAATAATTCTGGGTTAAACAGGTTGAACTTGAGTAGGATCCTTTTATTAATTGTGACAATTTGCAAACGGCTCGTGCTATTTCTATCTCTTTATTGGCGCCTAATACCATTTTCACATTGAATTGACTACATTATCCCTTGCGGGTTCCACTCTCGATTTAAGATTATTTCTTACCTTTTTTTTCTTCTTAATCTTTTGTTTCGATTTTACTAGGGATAAAACTACCCATGCTCCTCTCAAAGAATAATTATTAAAAGAGAAATGTTTATGTGACTGTCATTAATATACTGTAAGAATAACAACCAGTTTTGGAAAAAAAAATAATTGGAAATTCTTGTGGGGTCCACTCCTGCGAGAATTTGTGGCTCACAACATGATGTTATTCTAATAGTAGCCCAAAGATTGTTATGCTAGCAAATCCCTAAAAGACCTGCTCTTGATTTTAAATTATTGCTTGCCTTCTTTTCTTCTTTTTGGGTTTTTCCCAAAAAAAAAAATTTGGTAGATAACTAACTTATTTATTTGACAAAAAAAAGAGCTAATTATTGTGTTAACGAGTTGAATATTTATTTTTTTATGTACTAGGAAAAAAAATAGCCTAAGCACATTTAGGAGTGAAAAGAACCATGTACCAATTTTAGTATGCATTTTGTTTAACTATAACTTTAATATGTGTCATCACGTTATAGTCTGTGTATTTTAACTGGTCAACTTTTATTTTATTCCGTGAATCTAATTGTCGAATTTTCAATTATTTATTGTGTGATGCATTAAATATTTTGAGTGATCCTAATTTGTTCTTCGATTTATAGCAACAAACTTCAAAAGGACAATCAATCAAATGAGATTCGCTCTTTCTACTCTGATGTGCAATTAAAATATTATGTCGATCATGATAAGTACTTTCCCTATTGCAACCAATAAGAACATATTTGTCTTTGGCCTTTTTATAGAGACAATATAACCTTGAGCAAGAAATTGTGTCTGCACACTACTCAAAATATCCTTTGGTGTTAAAAAATTACCCGGGAAAGTTTCAAATGAACTTATTGACACGATTGACTGGTGTTCTCCATTTGCAGTTTCATCATCAATAGATACATTTAAGCAAAATACAATATCGTCTTCCACATGCACTACAAAAAACAGTCCAATGAATTATGAGTACATTGTGTGTAATGCATATATAAACCACAATATCAAAGTCGAAATTCACGATCATGATAATCTAGGCAAATATAGTAAACAATGTGCAGATAGAACTAACATTTCTTTACACCAATATATAGTTAGTGCTTGCTCAATTTACAACAACGGAGAATAAGTTCAGAAGAAGGCAAACAAGAAGTTGAAATGTAATGGGTGCGGAAGAAGCTGCTATGGTCAAAATAAGTTGTTTGAAAATGATGTAGATAGTTTTGTCTTTTCGTAACATTGAAACAAAAGAAAAAAACATGTAAGAAATAATCTTAAATTAAGAGTGGGACCCACAAGAGATATGAAACCATGAGGTTTGCCACCCTTCTTTTTGCCAAAATGGGAAAATTGCCATCATTAATTCATTAGGCTTAAAACTGATCTAAGCACAAGTGAAACAAATTTCAATGCTGTATAGAAGATAATTGTTTTTTGACATCTCTAATCTATAATATATTTTGCAAAAGGGACTTTTGAACATTTAATGAGGTTTCATCAATATCAAAAAATAAGATGCTAACTATCAAATGATTTGAGTTGGAGTGCATACACAAAGACCAAATTGGTGTAAATCTTCCAAAGTAATTAGTGTTAGTTCATGTCGTTAAGAAATTGTACCTCATTTATCAAATGATTTAAGTTGGAGTGTATACACAAAAACCAAGTTGGTGTAAATCTTCCAAAGTAATTAGGCTACATTTAGTAGTTGGGATAAAATTCGGGATAGGATAAATTTTATCCTATCCCGTATTTGGTGTCTGCTCAAGATAGGATAAAGTAGGATATAGGAGGGATATAACCCGGATAAAATTATCTCATGGGGAAGGTGGGATAAAGGTGGATAGGACTTCTAATATCCATAATATAAAAGTTATTTTTCTCGAATAATAAACTTGTTAAATTAATAAAATTAAAATAATATTCAAATATAAATAATATTTGAATTTTAATATAAAAAATTCAAAATAACAATAAATTTGTTTTTATTTATTTTTATTTATATATTCAAATTTCTTTCTATCTTATGATATAAATTTCATATATATATATATACACGTTTAGTATTTATATTTATTACATATTTTAGGCATATTTGTATAGTTTACTATTTAATAAAATTTTATTAGAGAATGATGGAAGGGGAAGAAATAAAAAAGAAATTAATTAAAAAAGAGAGGGAAAAATAATACAAAATAAATAACAATGAAATAGGTAAGAGTGTCATAAGAAATTTTTATCATCTCCGTTTGTGTAATTTTTAGGTTCATTTACACTGATATAATGTTCATAGCAAATAATGAACATAGTAATATATGAAAATATCTAGCTTTATTACTGCGATTCACCAAGCAGTAAATAGGATATAGCAAATCCCTTGGATTTTATATACTATCCTATCTAATCCTATCCTAGCTAAAAATCCGGATGACCAAACGTAACCTTAGTGTTAGTTCATGTCGTTAAGAAATTGTACCTCATTTAAAATCAAAGATGTGATGTCATTCATATTATTGCAGTTCTCTTGGTCATGCTTCTAAGAAGTTTGTTATTGATCATCTATGTATTTTCTTGCATTTGTATTCATCAATATTATTTTCCACATGAAAATTTACAGGGTTAATTATAAAAAAAGTGCTAAATCTATTGTACAAATATTAATTTATCCTTAAACCTTTCAATTTGACAAATTTTCTAATGTAGTTCTTTTAGCCAATTTACACGCTAATGGTTAGGCGAGGCTCGCCTTTACTAGTGGCCAAAGAGATTGCCCTTGCCAGTGGACGGTGAGGCTTATCGGCCATCACCTCTGGAAAAAAAAAGTCCAAGATTGTTAGCATCCCTCCTCCCGGCCGTGTCTCTGAGTGTCTCTACGGCAACGGCAATCGTGCAACGGGCATTGTCGTTGGTGTAGCGAAAATAGTAATGGAGAAGGAGCAGATGACTGGGTTGAATTAGGAGAAACTAATAGCGACAAATTGAAGGAGATTGACTATGTTAATGGTCATGATGGTCAACTGGGTCCGGTGGAGGAGGGGCTAGTGAGAAGGTCGACTCCAATTGATCCCCCATATCGGATAATAGAACCATGCGGAGGTTCAAAATCGCAATCGTCCGCGAACATGAGCGAATTGAGAATGATTGACTGACGATTCCTCAATGGATCAAATGGAGAGCAAACTACATCCGCAAAAAGTGTCAAGAATTCTAGGTTCCTTGCTCATGTTCGTTAAATGCGTTGCTCCATCACTCCATCATGGAGGATAACATAGATGGTTATTTTTTTCCTAATTTTTTTTTATCCAATCTGGGTTTATCCCATCCTTTAAGCCTGATTTCTTATCCAACATTTTATCCGAGTTTATCCGATTCGAATGACGTTACCAAATACTAAATATGATAATTTGTTATCTTATCTGAATTCAAATTCGGACTACCAAATACATATATGAAAATAGACTTTCCCAAAAAAAAAAGAAATGCAGGAGAAATCTTCTTGAAATCTTTTGCCAAAGAAAAACACCATGCACACAAGAAAACCGGTGCGAAATTGGGTTGCGAGGTTGCGATCTGGGACGGTGATTAAAGAAAGGAATTAAAGGAAGACATCGACAGGGGAAGAGACAGAGACAAAGAAGCTTGGTCGTGTTTCGTTTTCTTGGCGTTCCCATGCCCGCTGAACCGAAATGACAAGGCTGACCTCTTCCCTTCCCAGCAATAACTACTTTGAATATCATATGATTCATATCAACCACTCTCTCCAGGCTTCTCTCTCTCTCTCTCTCTCTCTCTCTCTTCCATTTTGAAAATGCCACTTCTCTCTCTCTCTCTCTCTCTCTCTCTCTCTCTCTGTTTCTCTCAACCACTCTGGATCTTGTCTTCGCTATTGAACCACCTGTCGATCCGTTCGCATCACATGGTGCAATCTTGAACTCTCCAGCATCACCCAGATACGCTTCTTGAATCTCCCACGCTTTTCCCTGACGCTGATATATGAAGCGTTGCGCGGGGGCAATGTTTCTGCATTCATTCAAGTTCGTTGCTTTCTGAGATTTGGTCCGTGCCCATCTGATATTTCGGCCGGTTTTCTTGTTGGGTTGTGATTAGATGGTTATGCGAGGCTTTAGGATATGCATATAGCTCTGGGTTGTGGGGGGATCTTGTGGATTCGTTATTAGGATGTGAAATATCGATTTCCGATTACGTTTCTACTTCGATTTGGCGATGATTTTGTGCCTTGAATGGACACAAGCACTGTTGCAATGTTGGACTGATGGTCTTTGATGGAATGGAACTTACTGGATCGATCGATGCTTTTGGGTCCTATGAGGAGATGTGATTTATGGCGTGCTGGTATACAAACGGTCTTTTCTATGGCGAGAGTGTCCATTGAATCTTGGTTCCATGGCTTTGTAAGATAATGCATACTTTCAACAGAAGTGTGTCGTTGAACCGCAGGGCCTTGAGTGTCGGAAGCCCAAGACTTGGCCGATCCACCGTGGTTTCGCGCCACCTTCACGTGCCTATTGTGATAGGATTTCTGTTTACTTTTCTGCTGGCCATTTCTGCCAGCTATATATTCGTGGTTCCTAGTCTAAAGCATACCTTCAATGGTGACACTATTTCCCAGAGTAATGAGTCGACGAGTGTTTGTGATGTTTCTGATGGGAGTTGGGTTCGGGATGATAGCCATCCATTATACAATGCTTCGGAATGTCCTTTTGCTGAGCAAGGATTCAATTGCTTGGGTAATGGTAGGACAGATGAAGAATATCTTAAGTGGAGGTGGAAGCCCAAGAACTGCGTCGTTCCGAAATTTGATGTGCGTACCATACTTGAGTGGCTGAGAAACAGAAGGCTTGTCTTTGTTGGTGATTCAATGAGCAGGTCGCAGTGGGAGTCGTTGATATGTTTGCTCATGACTGGAGTGGAGGATAAGAAGAGTGTGTATGAAGTAAATGGGAGTATGATCACAAAGCGGATCAGATTCTTAGGTGTTCGCTTTAGCTCCTTCAACTTCACCATTGAATTCTTTCGGTCTGTTTTCCTAGTGCAACATGGTTGGACGCCTAGGCATGCACCACGAAGGGTCAGGTCAACGCTTAAATTGGACAAACTTGATGATATTAGTATTCATTGGGTTGATTCGGATGTTCTAATTTTCAACACAGGGCAGTGGTGGGTGCCGGGGAAGCTCTTCGAAACGTAAGTTTTTTGTCCTGTCATCAACATAAGTGGTGCTCAGATGCTTGTTGATGATGCACTGTGCTAGTGTCTACAGCATCAAATGTTCCAAGTTTTTATGCTTCATACTCACGGTGAATCTCAAAGTTTCAACATTCACACATGACAATTATTTTTTATATTGCCAGCCATGTACTATACCAATGCAGTTTCTTAATTATGAACATGATTTATAATATCCTTATATTGGGCTATTGTTTGTATATATCGTCCACCCTTGGCCTTTGTTCTCCACTGAACGTGTAATGCTACTGATGACTGACAGCTTGCATTATCTTCGTTTCCATCCCCGATACTTTCCCATTGTATAGATGAAGAATAAGTCATGTGAAATCAGCTTTTTAGTTTGCTCTGTTATCATGTTCTGTTTTAGTGTTTGCTTTTCTTCTGAACTTTATGTTTGGCAGGGGTTGTTATTTCCAGGTCAGAAGTTCATTAAAGCTTGGATTGTCAATTCCTGGTGCTTTCAGAGTAGCACTTGAGACTTGGGCATCGTGGGTCGAGAGAGCAATTGACAGAAAACGAACAAGTGTCTTTTTCAGGACTTTTGAACCATCTCATTGGAGGTATTGCTTTATATTAAAATTTTCCCTTTGATATGTATCAGAGATATGCTGCACCATCACCTTGCTTGGCAACTTTTCTATCTGTAAACGTTGTTTCTGGAATAAAACTCACGTTTTGTCTTCAGAAGTAAGACTCTCCTTTCACTTCCTGTAATATCAAACTTGTCCTATGATTCGAACTTTTCCATGGAAGGACTGTTTTTATGATACATCACAGATGCCTGAAGGAGAAGTTTCATCTTTCTTCTTAGTTAAGTGATTAAAATTTGATTTCTGAGGATGCCTGATAATTTGGTCTAAAGGGAAAATTTATCAAAAGCATAACTTACTGGTGTCATCTTTGTTTGGATAAATTTGAAGAGATTGCATAAATAGATCGTCATGCTTTTCTATTTTCATGCAAGACTTCTTATCAACTTGGCATTGACATTTTTGTCTTTCAATATGACTAATACCATCAAATACGTCAGTATCAGTGACCAAAGAATTAGATCTTGCAACATGACTCGGTACCCCCTGCCGGAAGATAGCAAGAGAGACCCACATGTATTCGCAGACATTGCAGAGGAGGTGGTGAAGAACATGAGCTTTCCTATTACCCTTTTGCGCATTACATCGCTGTCAGCTTTCCGAATTGATGCACACGTGGGCAATTGGAGCGATAATCCATCTGTGGCCGACTGCAGCCACTGGTGTCTTCCTGGATTACCTGATATGTGGAATGAAATTCTCCTTTATTACCTTCTTACTAACCATGAATCGCCTCCGTAGAGAATGGCACCAGGGGGTCAGTTCCAATCTCTCCGTTTTCATTTATCTCATCCTTTTTCTTGTTTGTCTCTTCTTGCCGTTTACTTGGAAATGAAGTTGGAATTGACCTTGTAAAGGCAAAGGTACTTTATAGATAGTGGTGATTGATTGGTTATACCATGTCAACACTGCCACATGTGTCTCCATAACATAAGATACTTTCTCCTTGTAAATGAAATTAGTCTGAAAAAGTATTCTTACATAAGCATTAAGCACCGGTAATATTATTCACCCACAGTTATCTTTTGTATTCATATATTACATTCAGGTAGGACTACATTTGTTATTCAGAACTCCAAAGAGGAAGTCTTCCCGATTCTAATGTATTTGAGTAGAATATCTTCTACTTTACAGTTAGTGGCCAATGCTTAAGACGATCTTATTTAACTGCAATTGACCACAGCTGCAAATTGCATTCCCTTCTTCTAAATGACCACTCCTGCATGGCGCAGCCTTTATGGACTTCTGATACTGCCTATTATCCTCAATTGTTTTCTGCTTTTTAAAATGATTTACTTCTCTGACCTGTTTTAAATTACTGCAGATTGAAGAAGAGAATATATAGCTCCGCAGTGTACGAGAGCAATTGCTACATCCTCCAACCCCTAGAGAGCCAGAATGATCAAGTTTTATTGATCTGTCTACATTGATCTCTCCTTTCTGATTGTTTTGGCACAATGCCCGATACTTTTGGCAAGTCTCCGAGTAAATCCAGATTCCTTGGAGAATGACAGAGCTACTAACTAAGAACAGTTACGCGACACGAAGTGATTTTTTTTCATTCTTTCTGCAATTCTTTAGTTTTTTTCAGAGGTCAAATTTTGTTTCTCAGATGCAACAATCATTTCCACTGTCTGTACACTCTGTATTTTACCAACAGCTACACAATTTTGTTTCCAACAAAGAGGAAAAGGAAAGAAGTGGTAAAAAGGTTCAAACAGCTTGATTTCTGTGCGCTCTTTGCTGGTTCTGGCATGAGGCTGTAACAGGGGTTACAGATGCTATCCATTCCTTTGAGGCGACCGTAGCTGTTGGTGCTGTAAGTGAGATGTCCATTGCAAAAAAGCTGGTACATTCATCGCGAAAATGCTTAAAAGAAACTAATGACGTGCATATTCCAAAACATATCGAGGAAAGAAATAGGAACCAAAATGGTCCCATGAAAGCACTTGTCATCTTAAGCTTGCCTTTGAAGTCAGTCGTCAGTCTATGACTACACAGGTTTTGCAAGGGATATGATGAACAAAACCCGACAGAATAATGGGAAATGCATCTCGGCAAGGGCAGGATAATATGAATATTTTTTTCACATAAAGAGCATTGGCTTGCTGCTGTATTTAATCATTTCCCTTCCAACAGTTAAGCCCTCTTCGGTGAACAAGGTAAAGTAAATAAATTGTAAAGAGGCACAGTAACTCGAATAACATTTCATTTCCCTTGCAACAGTTAAGCCCTCTTCGGTGAACAAGGTAAAGTAAATAAATTGTAAAGAGGCACAGTAACTCGAATAACATTCACACAAACTGATTGATCGAGATAAAAGCAAATCCAGAAAAAGCAGAGCACATGGTCCAGCATTACAATGAATCGCCACGCGATAAAACCATTGGAATCTGAGGGTCATTGCCTCGCACGAGACAGAGAGCAAATAAACTGATTCCACCTTCAGTAGCATAATTTACTGTGACTTAAAATAAGAAGCCGATCTATACTAACAAGATCCTAACAAGATAATAGCACGATTCCAATAGGAAGCATGAAGATCCTAGAAATGGAACACGATTTGAGCGGTGTGGTAACTGAGTAGTAACTTTTTCTCCATATGCCATTGGAAGCAATGTGGATGTAACATAAGGTAATCAAATAAAACATACTTATACAAAAAAACATTTACAATTTATGTCTAATCAATTGCCATTGGAGTAATGCGCCTCTTGGCCTGCTTATTTGAGACAGAAGAGCTCGTTACAGTAGGAGACACCTCCTTAACATCTCCCTTGTCTGCCTGAGCCTTCATGTTTTCGTCACTGGTAGTAGATTCAATTGAAACCTCCGCCTTCTGCTCATCAATTTTCTTTTCCTCCACAATATTCTCCGCTGAAATAGTGAAAAGAATATATTAAGCAACCAAGAAAAGCTAATCTAAGTGGATAGATGCAAGCGATAGACATAAAAGTAAACCAACCTGATATGAAGGCAGGGGACCCCAATTCATTATTTTCAAATTCCAACAAGGTACAATAGCCGTCTTGAGAAGAAAGTGCTAAGAAATGGGCATCTGGAGACCTTTTAAGAGCAATTAGTAGCACTTATTAGTACATACTGTATACCAACTACAGTGTTTGGAAGCAAATCAGGCTCCTAAGAAGAAAACATGGGATCTAACATCAAGAGTATGATTGATAAGCTACATCAAACGTCGCCTACGATACTTCAACAAATACCAAGAGTGTAGAAAGCTTACACATTAATGACATAATAAATTAGAATCCATTATGAATTAGATAGAAGCAGGAATTTGGAGCCAATCTAGAGCAAATTCCTGAATTTCACTGCTCAACAAATACACAGTCCAGAGAGTAATAATATCCTTTACAGAGCTGTGTCCAAATTTAGATGTAGATCTTGAATAAATGAATGCAGGAGAATTTTCTCTGCTGTGGCTCCAGAATTAGCCCAATGCGTCTAATTCAGGAAAAAGTATTACGAGCAGGATTAAGGCAACAAATGTTCCAGCACCAAAGTAATCGCAGCACAGAAACGCAGCTAGCAGACATTCGATTTTTATCTTGACTTTCCAAGAGTAGCTGTTTGCACCAGAAAAAAGCTTCTGGCTGACAGAGAGTAAACTTTAGCACTATTGAATAAAATCACCCAACTTACCATGCAATATCAGTTACAGCTGCATAGTGAAGACCAGCCAAAACTGCTATTGGTGGGACACTTTCCGTGTCATAGATGTACAAGGAATTCAAAGTAGCCACGGCAAAAACAATGCGATAAGGGAGCTTGAAAAACCCAGCTGCAAAAGCATCAAAAGTTATCCGACTTAATGCCCCACTTGATCTTTTTCTTAGCTTGGAAACAACATTGTGATCTATGCAACATACCAGAGTTGGATCCTCGAAGATTAAATACCACAGGACAGAAACGAACTGCAACAACAGGTTTGCTAGCTCCAGGGAGCTGTATAGCAGGTCTGCAGATTAAGAAAAGAAAATCATGCCCTGAGAGTTTCTTCGGTGGACAAATGGAAGGCCAGGCTTAATTCTCGTTTGATGTTGGATGAGAAAGCTTGACAAGAATTAGACAAACTAGAATGTACAAGATTTAAAATGCAAGACAAAGAAGCTACCCATATACATCTGCAAGATCAGAATTCCCAGTTCCTACGTTATTTCTTCCTCAAGGTTATATCAGAATCACAATGGAACCACATTTATAAACCTCACAAAAAAACTATGCCTGCACTTTGATTTGACCATCTCCTAAATGTGATCAATAATTTGAAGAGTAAATCCCAAGGTTACTTTCATGCAGAGCGACTAATATATGGTACTTTAGCTTTAATTATGCTATCTCCAAGCCATTATTACTTTAAGCTTTTTAACACGGATAGTGTACTCAAACCTGAAGAAGTCTTCTGAAAAGACAGATAGGAGTCAAAGTCTTACCTTGAAAGATCTCTTCTAGAAATTACGTAAGCAGTATTTACAGGTTCTGCTGAAGGCAATAATTTGTAAGAACCTGCAGTAGTGGAGAAGCAACATTGGTAGGGGGATATATTTTTTGTTGCAACCAACCTGATGTTATGTGACAAATATTGCAAGCTCAAAGTACTTCAGGAAACTATTGCTGAAATATACTACTTAAAGATGGAGCTCATTCACAAAAATCAGAGCCAAGAATCATCAAACCTAATTTATCGATAAGGTTGAGAAAAAAAAAAGGCCAGTGAAAATGCAGGGAATCATGTGAGTACCAGCAGGCACAAGTAAAAAGGATCCATCTGGTGCCCAGGCTAATCTTCGAAAGAATGATGGTAATGTCTCATCATGAAAGAGATGACTTTTCACAGGCTGTCACAAACCACAAAAGACGTTTAGTATTCCTTAACACTGTAATAGATTTAGTGGCGTTAGGACCAGAGAAAGAAGATGATCTGCTCTAACTATACCCTTGAATCATCTGGTTGCTGGGGTTCTACCTTGGAGACAACATGGTGACAGACATAATTCATCTTCTCTGAACTCTTTCCTTTTATCTGAGGCTTATTGACATAAATTCGACAGGTCCTATCTGAACTGAGAGAAGCCACATATTTAGCCAATGGATCCCATGCGACCCCCTGAACATAATGCAAATGAGCATCCAAAATCTGACGAACTGATCCTGAAAAGGAGTAGAATTTTTTGTTCATCAATATTTTCAACTATGAAACTAAAAGTTCTTAGTTTGATAGTCCTTCTTACCTTTATTAACATCCCAAATAATGCAAGAATTATCAACTGATCCTGAAATCAGAAATGCACTATCTTTAGACCATTCAAGGTCCAAAACGTCCTTCCGATGAAACCTGGCTCACAAAAAGTGACACATTAAAACCGGATTTACTCTACAAAGTCTGCCCAATGTCTTGCCAATATGCATCCACACTAGTTAATAAACCGACATAGCAAAATGAAATACAAAATATGTGCATCACTGTACGAGCTGAAACCCACATCCCTAAAGCCGGGCAACACAATGAATCTGTTCCACCTGACTTTAAATTTAGCTTATGCTTCTATACAAATACCAATATTCTCATGTTTCAAGTCATGCTCTCGTGTCGAGACAGCCTACATTAACTTAGTTTAAAGCCCATATATAATACAAATAGTAATGATAATATATATACAAAACAGCCTTCAGAGGACTGGCGATTCCCGACACGACATGAGAACATGACTTGAACCCGAAAAAAATATACTGGAATAAATCTGAACCCGACATGACATGGCGCGACTGAACTCAAAACCGATACTAATTGACATGTTTTCCCTCATTTTTAGTGAAAATTCGAATCATTTTTGTAACGGCACAAAATGAAACGAATAGTTGACACGAACACATCATGCAAACACGAATTGTCAACCCTTCTTAAACAACATTATTTAGTATGAGAGATTTCCTTTTTCCAAGTAAACACCACTTGAAGGGACATTAGCTGCTAATTTCCAGAGTGAAGTCATCCGAGAAGAAAATGCTAGAGATAATTGGCATGATCTGACATTGGACATCAGCAAATTCTTTGAAGGAAGAAGCACAACATAAATCAGAGAAGATGGTCGTACGATAATGTCTTGAGAACTTTCCACGTCTGACCAGCTTCACCTATGTGCAACTTCCATAAGATCAGCTCTCCTCCTGAAAAACAAGACATGCTATCAAACTAATTAGCCTCTTCGTACCACCAATGGCTCCCAACCTGTACTGGAAAAGTAGCTTGAAACATGAGTTGACACCATACCATCAGCACCAGAGGCCAGTAATTCCCCTGCATGACATAGAGGATTATTATTGACTATCACTGTGCAACTACTGATGTTCATATCAAGGATTGAATTTAAAAGGTGAAAAGCCAAAGATAGATACAAACTGAAAAATAAATAAATCCTTTACCTCTAAAAAAGAATAAATGATTCAACCAGAGCTATAGTAAAATTTGTTTAATGAAGAAAACACTCATGTACTGCCTACTGCCGTAAGATTTTGCATTAGGTTCAATTGTCATGGATTTATTATCATTAGATAGAGTCTCACTCTCAAGAGATGCAATGCAGGGACGCCTAGAAGTGTGTCAGTAAGTTGCAAGACATGGTGATGTGTGTGGCTACAAAATAGCAATGTGTTTGATAAGCTATCTATTTCTTAAGAAACATAGGGGAAGGATTAGATGAAGAACCTCCTCATATGCTTTAAACACATTGAGCATATTTAACCAGCATCGAGTATTCTCACCTGATGGAGAAAAGCGCAGGATATTTACAGCAGAGCTGTGGTACGTGAGACTGTCCTGATAGGCTGCTACAGGACCTTTCTTCTGCTCTTCGCAAACTAAAAGCCAAAGCTAGGAAAACACAGTCACAGCGGAATTATTCTTCAGGCTAAATGAGAAATTAGCAACTCATCTTTATCTAAGTAAATACATAAGACTCCGAAACTCAATTTAACACGGCGGGTAGGGTATCCTTCAACTTTAACTCGGATCCCATATACACCACCTGCCATTTGATAAATGAGACATCCATTGAATCTAGGGTGGCGATCGAACTCGACACGATCCAACAAGAACAGTTACATTGACCATCGGGGAGAAAGTATCATGCACATCCAGAAAATATGACGCGCTAATGATCACCGAAATCGCATTCATCAAGTAATCTACTATAAAGGGCTTCAAAAAGCACAGACTTACTTTGTTTCGGAACACTAAAGAAAGAAGAGCCAGGACAATAGACAGCAGTCACACTCACTGTATTCCGAAAAGCACAGACTTGACACAGCGAAGACGAGTAAAATGCCCCTGGAAATTAACCCAAGAGCAGCAGGGGAGCCGAAAAACGAATTCGAACCCAAAACCCAGAGCAACACGCCGAGATATCAAACGGCAAGAGCCGACGAACCAGGTTGCAAACTTTTGACCCACAAAATGGGTAACAGTAGCGATGAAGCCCCACAAAAAAAAAGCAATGGAACGAGCCACCACACAAGGAGAAAGAAAACGGAAGATGGAGGAGCACCTTGATGTCGAAATCGGCGCCGCCGGTGGCGAGGAGGCCGGAGATGGGGTGGAAATCTAGGGTTAGGACGGGCTTGGTCTCGTGCCAATTGATCTGGACCGTGCCCCCCTTCATCTCGCCGCCGCCGCCGCCGCCCACACTCCTCCGTCGCTTCTCCTCCTCCTCCTCCTCCTCCCTCCCTCTCTCTCTGAAATTCGAAGGCCTTCTTCCGTTCTCTTCCCTTACAGCCGAGGAGCGCCGCTCGGCGGGATGGATGTTGGCGCGTCATCGTCTGATTTGGCGGGAAATTCATTGGGCCGGGCCGGGCCAGCCCATTCGGCCTCCCGCGGATTCGCTGGCTTGATCGGGCCGGGCCCGTGCGGGTGCGGCCCACTTTCGGAATCATCCTGCCAAAAATTGGATTTACGATTAGGGACCGTTTATTTCACGAAAAATTTATCATCGAAAAATACTTTTTTCATTTTCCTTATGTGTTGGATCGGGTTAGATGGCAATATGCTTTCTGAACCAGCTCTACACGATTGGCATAATGACTATTTTCTTTGCATTTATTAACACATGGCACTTGGAGCAATTGTTTTACGGTTTTCAATACACGAACCGCTCAAATGACCGGAAATAAAAGTTATTTGGTGATTTTGTGTACCGAGAAATTCCTCAAATTGTATGTTTGACAGGTGCCCTAAGAGCGCTCGTTAACGAGAACCGTTTTTGCCGTTCCTTTTTAGAATGATCTGGGAAACTTGGACCGTGAACATGAATAAAGATAGGTCATCAAACGGGTGATGTGATTTTATGACTAGCTTTGGAGTTGTTATGCACCAGAAATACAGTGACAATTCGGACTAGCATCTTTATTCAAACTCAATTCACGGTACAATGTACACACTGTACATGGGGGGAACCAACATGGGGGGAACAAAACAAACGAAGACTCTTCCAACTTTCAACATCATGTTCCTGATCTAACGTATCGGGTCGGACCCGATCGGGCTGCCAAGGCTCCTCTATCCGTCCATGCGGATGATGCAGCGGAGCGACTCTCCCTTGAGCATGTAGTCGAAAGCCTTGTTGATCTCGGAGAGACGGACTTCGTGCGTGATGAACTTCTCCAGCTCGAGCTCCTGCAGAAATAAGACAGCCGGGGTCGAAGTCAGCTTCCCATCGAGTTTGTTGAAGTTTCGAAGAAGATAAGGCCACTGAATGGGAATCACATTATCATGTCTTTTCAACAGAGTTTTAGATGACACCGTTTATCTCACACAGCATTAAAGAGGAACCTTTAGTTTGAACTTTGCTCACTTACCTTCCTCATGTACATCTCGACAACGTTTGGAAGGTCGGTGCGTGGTTTGTAGTTGCCGAAGAAGGTGCCCTTGAGCGTCTTCTCATTCAGGAAGTTCATCGGATGAGTCTTAAAGGCGTCGTCTTTGTTCGGCACTCCGACAAGTACTGCCACACCCCATCCCTGCAAACAGAGGAACATGAATATTTTCGTCAATGACTTTGCGAAATCATTCATATTGAGTCAGTCAGCAAAATTCATCGGAGATTACATCGTGAACGCATTCGAAAGCAGAAATCATGGCACTGATGCTTCCTGTGCACTCAACACTTCGGTCGACTCCCCCGTCAGTCATTTCAGCAAGAACCTGAGGATGATGGAATCGCATTATTAGAACCGGCATTAAAGTCTCTACTTAATAGTTTCAGTTTTCCAACTTAACATACTGGTTTACTAACCTCCTGAACTGGCTTCTGATGATCTTTTGGGTTCACAAACTCGGTAACGCCAAATTTCTTGGCTGTTCAGATGAAGAAATTGACCATTAGCAGAAGGTTAGATGGAACCGCAAATTCATTGGGAAGAAAATTTCAAGCTATACTCGATAGAGCGGATCAAAATGCCTACAGTGTAAACAAAAGAAACTAGCGAAAGCTTCGTGATGAGGCAATTTTTTTTATTTCCTTTTCAGTACTCAAAACTCATGAGACCACCTTTTATTTGGAATGCTGTTAAGTATCTTCCATAAGGACCAAGTCCCGTGAAACACCGGAACAGTAGAGACACTATTTAGATTCCAAGTATTAATCTCGTTAGAATTGTACTCACCCTCGTCAAATCTTTTCGAATTGAGATCGACACCAATGATCCTCGAAGCTCCGGCAATTCTGGCACCTTCAGCCGCCTGATCAAAAGTCATAAGGAACAGTCATTTCAGATCAACAAGAACGCACAGGCAGTCCTCAGTACAAAAATAGCATTTCCATGTAAAGGAGAGAATTGCAGAAACTCACAGCAAGGCCAACAGCACCTAGTCCAAATATAGCAACAGTGGAACCCTTTGGAGGTTTCGCAACATTCAAGGTGGCCCCAAGACCTGCATTGCAACTCAGATTAGCAAGACCAGTTTGATGAATGAACAGGTGAAAAAGCACCATCTCAATTACGCACCAGTAGATATTCCACAGCTGAGAATGCAAACTTTGTCCATGGGAGCAGCAGGATTTATCTTGGCTAGGCAACCGACATGAATGACCGTGTACTCACTGAACGTTGACGTCCCGACGAAATGGTAAATGGGTTTTCCATTGATGGAGAATCTCGATTTGCCATCGTTCAGCATCACCCCTCTGTCTGTGTTTATCCTGAGGAGGTCACACATGTTGCTCTCCTCAGATTTACAGTGCCGACACTCCTTGCACTCCCCCGTGAACACTGGAAGCACGTGATCGCCAGGTTTGAGCTCTGTCACACCCTCACCGACGCTTTCGACAATCCTATGAATCAAGAAGATCACAATTTATAAGCACCACTGAAAGAAAGAATAATACTGAGGCCCATTGAATATCAAATGAAGAAGTAGGCCATACCCTCCTGCTTCGTGACCAAATATGCGAGGAAAAACTGGGGTTTGTCCCTGAAAAATGATGGATCGACAGGGCTAATTAACTGCTTTGATGAAAAATCTACAAGGAACGTGCGAATCGAAGGAGGGAACATCTATTTACCTTGGCTTCCCAGAAGTATACATCTGTATGGCAGAGTGCCGTGACGAGGATTTTCACGCGAACCTCCATGGCCTGCGGAGGAGCCACCTCCACTTCTTCTATCACCAGTGGCTTTCCGGCTTCCCATGCCACCGCAGCTAATATCCAAAATCGTTCGGTTAATGCAAGTAGAATGCAGTGATTGGATGTTTTGAGGAGAAGGTAAAAACTTTGATAAGGCCGGACATCATAGCGTATTCTAAAGACGGGTTATTGATATCACGATGAACGGGGGCGGAAGACCAAAACTGGGCAAATTAGCTGAAATGGCTTATTCAATGACCAATCTACGAAAGGGTCACCACCATGTTCAGATTCTTTCAATTGAAGCTTCATTTGAAGACAAGAAAGCAGAAATTATCAGAATCAGCAGAGACTGTACGTCCATTCAATACTGGCATATGATGGGGACCATTTTAGGCAGTGGAATTAGCAACTCAAGCAACATCATTATATGCAGGGGGGCACAACTTAACTAGCAGAACCAACAATTAATCACAAGTCCTAAATCTCAGCTGCATAATCAACCTGATATTCGGAAAAAAACACGTCCTGAGGAGGATATAATCAATGGGGAAGTTCCACGAAAACCATAAATTAGATAACCGCAAAGAACCATGCGAATCTGACTCAAATGGGTGAACCAAAACAGAAATAGAGCATGAAATGCTTAATCTTTCTATCGCAGAAGCTCGCACCTTTGCAACGAATGACTTTCCCGACAGTGCTCGACATAGTTGTACAAACTCCTCGGCTTCTTTCGACTTGAGCGATGAAATAGATGATTCCTTCTTCTGGATGTGAAGAGAAGTGGGTGATGGGTGATGGTATTTGTAGCCCACGAGGCGAAGAGAGGACTCATGGTTCTGCACCAATCAACGTTCGAGGAAGAGAATAAAGAACGGCGAAACCACGCTACCATATACCAGTGTGCTTAGTGTGAAGTTGGTATTTCTAGCCCGCAACGCGAAGAGAAGACACGTGGTTTAGCACCAATCAACGTTCGAGAAAGAGAAAAAGAAAAGGCGAAACCATGTCAACCCAAAACCAGGACCAGCATGCTGGTTTCTCTTCATGCACGAGGGTGCTCTGCTGACGGCGCCCTCTGTATCTTGGTCGTTAGCGGTTTCTGGTTTTTCGTGGCGTTGACCTTCACAGCTCAGAATGTCGGGGAGGCCTTTTTTCCTTCTTGACCCTTTACTTAACCGATAGTTCAACGATCAGCTACAGCTACTTTTGGAGCACAGCGGCATCTGTCTTCTGCTTGTGTTTTTGTTTTATTTTTGTAAGGATCTGTGGACTCGTGCATAGAAATGCATCGTTGAAAGCACAATGGTTAAGACACGGGCTTGTAGGGAGATTAATTGATCAAGTATATCTTTTTATGCCATTTTAGTACAAGCACCTGCATAATTTTATACTTAAGTCATCCGCTCGGATTTTGACTCGCGTTTTATCTTGTCGCTGTTCATGATTTTGTTCGGTACTTTATGAATTTTGGGTTTGATTATTTAGATGTTTTTGTCACGACGGAAAAAGAGAACAACTATATAAAAGATCATAATTACTCATGTTAATAATGCTGTTTGGACATTTGTATTTCTAAATTTACTGGTAGTATCTTTTCTTTACTACCCCTAATTAAGAGTATTTTAGAAAGAAAAAGGATATTGTAAACGGTGACAGAAGAGTAGAATCTTGTTCCCTATTATATGAGATAGATGTTAGAGGTACAAAAATATTCTTATAAAAACATATTTTTGTATAATATATGGAAACGTCTAACTATATCGTCATGTCTTCTAGGTCTATAAACTAGTAAGATAAAACCATTAATCAGAAAACGACATGTTTATAGATTATTATCACCTCATTTTGCATGGAAGTCTTATGAATATTTTGCAAATATAGGATTGCTATTGATTTATTTAGCAAAAATATCAGTACAAAAGACAAAGGCCCATTTTATTTTCTGTTTAGGGAGACTTTTGTCTTAACTTTTAATTAATTGTAGTTTTGTCATTTAGAATTTGACCTTCACTTCGTTATTGAATATGGCTTATTATTGTGGATGACTCAATTATGTGTTGGGATAACTTGTGATCTTAACATCTATTGTTAACTTTAACTTCTATAGTTTGGAATTTGACTTTTATTTTGTAAGCGACTACGACTTATTGCAAATGAATTTACATTGAGCACCTCTAATAGTTATAAACCCATATTTATTTACATATATCCATTTTAACTTAGTCACTAGCATGTGAGGTGATCATGCGGGTGCGCAAACCACCAAAGTAACACCCAATAATCAAAACATTAAATAAATTGCAAGATTGGGAGAATTACTTACCTCGAAGCAACGTAAGCATCTGCATTGTTAGCTAGAAAATCACATCAACAATCCTAATATGATTTCTAATTAACAAGCAATTCACTCAATATTTTTTAGGATTTTCACTTATTTAAATGAAAGCTAACCTATATGTAATGACGTGCAAAAATTAACATGCGATTAATGCAGCCTAACATGCAAACTATATGTCATGCGACAACGTGACCTAATTCTAATGACGGACAAATGACTTATTTTTGGTATTTTCAAATGAAATTCGGAATTAAAAATTACTCAAATTAACATGCAATCTATCCTAGAGAAAATGATTTGATCTATCCTAAAGTGATTCCTTTTTGAGATTTTTATTAAAATTCGAAATTATTAAATATCCTAAATAATCCACTAAGATTAAAACAATTTCTAATTTAAACTAGGAAGTATGCCACCCTAAATCCCAATTTAAATCAAATAATTATCTTATTCTTTTGGATATATTTAAGATTCCCTAAGCATGCAGAATTTCTAATTTAAATATAACTAACAAATTTTTTGGTTTTCTTTATTTAAAAGGAAAACAATCAAACAAAGATACCAATCACATTCAAACAATCCACACAATCCGCAAGATTCTTCAAATTCGATAAGGCAAAGAAATCAAACTAACGGTCATATCTATAGGGTTATAGATATCGACGAGAAAGTTGATTGTTTAAATTTGGAAAGCAAATTAAATCTATTATCGTATCCAAGTGATTATGGACAAGATAACGATTTTCCGTATCGCCGCATATCGTACCTTAGGGATAAGGTCGGATAGTCGTCCGATACGTTGCTAATTAGGAATGATTCCTAATTTTAGGTGTTTTCGAATATTGCGGATATCGCAAAATTATCCTAAGATATATAGCTATCCACCAAATAATATCCACGAAATATTCAAACACCGAAAACTTAGGAAATTAAATATTTCAGAAAATATTCGGATAATGATCTTACCTAATTTCGGGATATTTCCAAATTTGAACTCGCGAATCGGGATTGCGGATCTGGATGACCGACAATGGATCACGAGCAGCTCGTCTCGATGGTGGTTCACAGTCAAAGCTGGCCCGCAATGTGGACGCTCACGATGAGGGATGCTCACGGGAATCTCAGCACAGTTAGGCGCGGGGCTGCTACTTCCTGGCTTCGTCGTCTGAGGGAATTACAATAACTGGCAAGGAAATTTATGGGACTTCCCAGCAAGACCAAAGAAACCTGCAGATAACTCAAATTGGATCCAACGAATTCTGTTGACTTCGTTGGACCCACTAAGCAAGGAAGCAAGACCAAGTGGACGTCACAGAGGCATGATGGTGGCAGCAAAGATTCACTAGACCCGATACTAAATTGGCGAGCGCACTGGAAATTCAACGGCAGGGAATCTACTGGACTTGACTGGGACTCGGGTGCTGGAACTGGCTGGAGCGTGCTGTGACCAGCGCAAGTCAAGGCCGAGAAACTTTGACGTTCGTTGGATTCAGCAAACGTCCTGGATGAGCAGCTCTCGGTGGCAGGTGCAGCGTTGGTTCAAGTTGGCGATGAGCACTAATTCTGCTGGGCTGCTGTGCTGAACGTCGGAGAGGATGGGCTCGCCGAGAATCTGCAGAAAATTGTTTGGAATTACTGGAAACCGCTCGCGCTTACTGGCTGGTATCTCTGGGCGCTCGCTGACTGCTGGAGCAGCGTCTGAGGCGTGAAAGGCTGAGGCAAGGACAACTTCGGATGTTGGAAGCGTGGTGGTGCAGAGTGGCCAGCAGCAAAGGGGGTCACAGCAACAGTGATGAGCAGTTCGGCAAGGGTATCACTGAGTTGGACTTCACTTGGACGTAGTATATTGACTCCGTCAACAAAAGCCAACCTTGGCTGGACTTAAGTGACGCAGCGATGAGCGGAGGAACAGCCACGAGGAGGCACGAAAACAGCAAGAAATAGAGTCTGGTCGTGGAGCTCTCGGTCGTGATCGTGTAGACACACGCCCAAGGAAGACGACGACTCTTCTCTCCCTGTGAACTTTCTTGTTTTCTCTCTATGTTTCTTGTGTGTGATCAGAACCCCCAAAAGAAAGCCCCCTCCATTCTGTCGCTTTTTGGGTCTCTTTTATAATGTCTTCCTTTTTTCTTCAAAAGAGGAAATATGAATATATGAATGAAAAGCCACCTCTCGACTACCTTCTTTGTGTATAACAAATATTGTCAAAAAGATATATTGCTTAAGATCAACTATATGCCCCACGCGCAACCTCTTATTCAATATTTATTATATGTGAATAATGCTAAAGATCTTTTCTTGCCTTCCTTTTATTCCCTTTGTCTGCACAGCACCAGCTCAGCCAAATATTTTCTTTTATTCTTTGCATCATTCCTCCACTTGTGCCCGTAAATCAAAGATATGTGTGAAGATGATACGTGCCCTGCATGCTATTCTTTCCTTTCATTTATCTGACCATGCCGTGGGGAAGAATTTTATAAGTCCATCAAACTTTCGGTCATAGCATGGGCTTTTTGCCAACCTTTCTAGTTCTCGCGGGCTTAGTTCAATTAGCTTGATTAAGCACAGAACTATTCATTCAAGTCCATTTGATACCGGTCCAATAAATATGCAAACTATATGGGCCTATTAATGAAATGCTCCTAATATCTATATGCAATTTAACGAATATTTTTGCTAGGTGTCGGGATCGACTCCTAATTTTCCTATGCAATATGTACCTAAATGGATCGCCAAAATTTAGGTGTCAACAATATAAATTTATATGGTTCTAGGTAAAGTTAAAGTGATATTTCCAAACGATTCCATAAAGCAAATCAAATGTCAAGTAGTCTTCAAATCCAAGCTTCTAACTTCTATTACAATATATGTGATACGAGTAGAAAATTCAGGGCAAAAAGCCTCCAAACACACAATTAACCAATCAAGAATAATATTTTCTGTGTGAATCTAATCCCATATATACTAAATTGAATTGAATGCGTAATCGCCGATTGGAACCTTTATAAACGGTCAGCGTAGCAGTTGGTAAAAGTTGCAACTTGTGAGGCAACTTGATCTCACAAGTTGCCACTTAGATATTGAAACTCCCTCATCTATTCATAAAAATAAAAATTGTTCCAGTTGCTTATAATGTATACTATCTATACTAGTTGTCTTTCTTTATATCTTATCCCTTTTTTTTATTTATTGAAATATCAATTTTTGTCTACCTTAATTACCAATTCTCATGTTTGCTAACTCCCTTAAAAAAAATACCAATCTAAGGTGACTCTCGGCAGCTTTTCTACCGTTAAATTGGATTGGGTTATTAGCTTCCATTTGAGTCACCGGTGTTTATTTGACTTGTTTTAATATGCCAACTTTTCTTGACAAATTTTTATCTACATTTCTTAACAACGCCTTGAATTTACTGACTTTTTTAGAAACGGCAGGGGAAGTATGAGATGAAAAACCTCCTCATATGCTTTGAACACATTGAGCATATGTTTTTTTTGGTCGAAACATTGTGCATATTTAACCAGCATATTGATGTTGCGGTTTTTCTTAGGTGTGAGAAATTGTTATAGGCTTATATCCCTTTTTGAAGC